GGCCGGGAGCAGCCACTGCACTCCAATCTGGGTGACAGAGTGAGACTCAAAAAAAAAAAATAGCCAGGCATGGTGGTGCACACCTGTAGTCCCAGCTACTCAGGAGGCTGAGGTGGAAGGAAGGATCACCTGAACTCAGGAGGTTGAGGCTGCGAGGAGCTGTGATCATGCCACTGCACTTAAGCCTGGGCGACAGAGTGAGATCCACTTAAGCCTGGGCAACAGAGTGAGATCCTGACTCAAAAAAAGAAAGAGAGAGAAAGACAGAGGGAGAAAAGGAGGAACGGAGGGAGGGAGAAAGGGAGGGAGGGGAGAAGGAAGGAATGAAAGAAAAAAGAAAACTATAAAGGGGTAAGGAGATGCAAAGTGACAATGAGTGCAGAGAGGGTGGGACCACTCTCTGATGGGATGACATTTGAACGGACAACTTGAATAGAAGAAGCTAGCTATAAGAAGATGAAGGGGAAGAACAATCCACGCAGAGAAAACAGCAAGGCCCTGAACTGGGAATAAATATAACATGTGCAAGGAGCAGCTAGGAGGCCAGGATAGCCTTGGTGTAATAGGCAAGGGAGAGGAGAACGTGGGGGAGTAGGCCAGAAGATACAGGAGCCAGAACATACAAGGTTGTTTGGGTATGAGAAGAAATTTCAGTTTTATTCCAGGAGTTATAGAAAGCCAGTAAAAGGAGGTCCTTAAATGTGAGCCTGTCATGATTTGATTTGTATTAAAAGAAAATCACAGCCAGGCAGGATGGCTTACACCTGTCATCCCAGCACTTTGAGAGGCTGAGGCAAGAGGATTGCCTGAGCCCACGGGTTCGAGACCAGCCTGGGCAACTTGGCGAGCCCTCACCTCTACAATAAATAAATAAATAATAAAGTAGTCGGGTGTGGTGGCACATGCTACTTGGAAGGCTGAAACGAAAGGATCGCCAAGCCCAGTAAGTCAAGGTTGCAGTGACTGTGAGCATGCCACTGCACTCCAGCTTGGGCAATAGAGTGAGACTCCGACTCCAAAAAAAGAAAAAAGAAAATCACTCTGGCTGCCATGGGACAAATGGACTATAGTGGGGTGTATGCATCAATTTTTGATGTATTAATGCTGTATAGGAAACCACCAAAAAACTCAGAGGCTTAAAACAATAGTCATTAATTTTCATGCTCACGGGTCTGTAGACCCATTGGGATTTTCCTGATCTCAGATAGGCTCCATGCACCTGTTCCAGTCTGGGTCGTGTCTCATTCTGAAGCCCAGGCTGAATGAACAGTGAGTACCCTGATGAATGTTCTTACGGCAGAATTGCAAGAAGACAAGTCTAACTGTGCTAGCACATTTCAAAACTCTGCTTGTGTCCCATTCAATAACTTTCAAAGCAAGTCATGTGGCCACGCCCAACATGAAGAGACAGGGAAATAGAATTTGCCCACTACAAGGCTATGGCAAGGATGTGCCTGTATATACCTGGGAGTGAAGAATTGGGACCAATAATTCAACCTACCTTGGGGGCTAGCATGGAAGTATAAGCCCTGTTAGGAGACCACTTTAGAAGCAGTGTAAGAGATGACAGTGTAAAAAGAGAGAGGGAGAAAGAGATGACAGTGGCTTCAACTAGGGTGACCCTAGTTGGATTTAGTGGAAGACAAGGTCCTAAGAGGATAAGGTAAGGACTAGGTTGGAGGTAGGGGATGGGAATGGAGTCTGGTTCACCAGAGGAAAGAAGAGAGGAAGGATGGAAACAAATGTGACCTCATTACACTTTTTGCAGATCCTGGTGATGTGAATTCCAAACCCTTTCCTCTTGTAAGGATTGAAAATGGACAGAGAGAGAGTGAGGAAAGGGTGACGGACACATGAACGAACTTTCTGGGTTCCTGAGCCAGAGGCATTAACTGTTCTACCTTGAGGTGGAGGGCAACCCATCTCAATCAGGCCAGTAGGTGGCATCTGAGCAGGACAAATCAGATCTGGAGGAGACTCACAGGCAAATGGGTTCTTTTCTGAAGTAAGAAGAAATGAGACATCTGCAGTCTCCCAGCCAAACACCTGCCACCATAAAGAAAGGGTGTCAGAGATTGGGGTGGGGTAGAGACTTGGGTGGTCCAGAGAAGCTGATCCGGCCAAAGGATAGGACTGATTGCCTCCCCGCCTTCCTGGTCACCAGCAATTGTTGATCCACTTCCTCATGAAATGGGAGACACGCGGATGTCATATAACTGGAGGACAGAATTTACTACTGCTCTCACCTTTAAAAATTTTTAAGCTTTTTTTCATTAAGTAATACATTCACATAGTATAGAACTCAAAATGTACGAAAGGAGCTCAGCGTGAGAAGTAAATCTCCCTTTCATCCTTGACTCAAGGGCCTCATTTCTCTTCCCAGATACAATCTCACAATCTACCAGTTTCTTCAACAAACTTTTGGAGATTTAAGTATATATGTATTTTGTTGTTGTTGATATACTGCAGCATACTGAGCGCATTGTTCTGATTCTTGCTTTTTCTCATTAAATAACCTTGAATACTCTTCCATGTTAATATCCAATGAGTTCTCTAGTATTTCTTGGTATGCATGGATGAGATATATTTAAGCAGCTTCTTATTAGTGGACATGTAAATTGTGTCCACTTTTTCACTCTTGTTAATAGTCCTGCAATGAGCATCTTTATATATATCTCAGGATATCTTTAGGGTAAATTCCAAGAAGTGGAATTTCTAGGTCCAATCGCTGAGTCAATGGCTATGGGCATTTCAAATTTTGATAGAGGTTGCCAGGTTACCCCCTACAGAGGTTACACAAATATCACTTCACCAACAATGGATGAAATTATCTGTTTCTCTATGCTTTTTCCATTACAGACTTTTCCAATTTTAGTATAGAAGGCCTCCTGTCCCCACAATTCCTCGGTCCTGGGCAAACAGGGATGGTTGACTACTATAACCAGTGTGTTATAAAATTTCAGCTGGACACAGTGGTTCATGTCTGTAATATCAGCACTTTGGGAGGAAGGAGTAAGAGGATGGCCTGAGCCCAGGGGCTCAAGACCAGCCTGGACAACTTGGCAAGACCTCGTCTCTACAATAGATTAAAAAATTAGCCGAGTGTGGTGATGCATGCCTGTGGTTCCAGCTACTTGGAAGGCTAAGGCGGAAAGATCGCGGCTTCGGTGGACGTGAGCGTGCCACTGCACTCCAGCCTGGGCAACAGAGTGAGACTCCCACTCACA